ATAATATTGCAATCGGCTAATCCATTCATTTTTTTTTTTTAAAAAAATTATAAAAATCAAACATACATATAAAATTATAAACGGTCAGACTATGATACCATGAAATATAAACTAAGTAAAATTTTAAAAAATTTCCCTCGGATCAATCCAAATAAAATAGAAAAACTTATAAGTAAATACTAATTGACTAAACGGTCAGGGTATTTTAATTTGATCACTGTTAAAATGGTTATCGTGTGGATGTACTTCTCAAGGAATGTTTTTATATAATTTATTGACCTTCTTTTTCTTCATTGATCCTCATTTAAAATGGTTATCGGTTGCACCCAAGCCTTGATTTTCATCCTCACTTTTCTTTAACCAACCCAAGAAAAAAAATTCCGATTGAAGTAGATTGCTAATCACTATCGATTACAATTCTTTTTGAGAATTCTTACTCAAAAAAACATTATTATCATTTCGTTAATACATAAATCATTAGTACATTCTTCTAATTTGGATTAATTTGATGACAATTTCTAAAAATTTATAGTAGTCAACTAGTCATCATTGATAATTTATGTTTTAAGTATATTTTTAAATTTTAAATAGAGTTTTTTTAATGAATAGAGAAGCTCATAGCAATATTATACTAAGGGCCTATTTAGGGATTAATTATTCTATGCGGGCAATGGCGCCGTCCGGAGGCAAATCAAAGCACGTCATGTTATCCCTTTGTTGTGCACCTACTGTATATCGGGTGACGTGATGCACTCTGATTTTCCTCTGAATAGTATGTTGTCCGCACATAATATTTTTTGCTATTTAGAATAGCTTTAGCATTTTATAAAGTTGTTGTGAAATTACATTGTGAAAAATAATTTAGTTATTCTGATTATAAAAAAGCTTTTTTCTCTCATGAAAAGTTTTAGAAAAGGTAAGAAAATAGTAATTAAATGAAACTTTTAACGATGTGTGAAAAGCAAATTAATAAGAAATTTGTCTCAAACAGAACAAAATCTCATGCTAAAAATTCTTTTAAATAAATACTAATTGAGTTTTAAAAAATTAAAAAATTGAAATTTAAATTTAAAATTTAAATATAATATATATTATAAATAATAATAATATATATATATATAAGGAAGCTCCACCTAATGGCCCAAAGAGGACAACAAGAATTAATAAATCAAACTATGTGGTTATGTTCAGTAGATTTTAAATTTAGGATTCTATGATCGATAATTACTTTCATTATAAATTCAATTTAGATTGTATTATTTTAAAATAATTTATAATGAGAATTGCACAAATTATGAAGACAATTATTCGTGCGGAGTGTTGGAAGGAAGCAATCCCAATAGTGAGTGTAGCAACATTGTGCACAAATAATGCGTACATATTTAACCAAGATATGTACACACTGCTTCACTCAAACCCGAGTTTGGTGCTGACCCTTTTGCAGATTGTTTCAGCTGGGTTCACGTCGAGTTCTTGTCTGCGGCCAGGTTAGTGTCAACCGATAACCGCACAGTCAGGTCTGAGTACAAAAGGTAACCCATATGCAAAATAGGTTGGGTTCAGAGTTTGTCAACTAGTAGCGGATCAATTCAGATTAACGCCGAACTTAATCGTGGAACCCGTTTGTTAGATTATCAATCACTATAGATTTTTTGGTTCTATTTTAACGTTTACGATAGTCTTTATTAAAAATTAATGTATTTATTTAACATTTAGATACATATATTTAATTTGGTATGAATGAAATAAAACTTCATTTTACATTTTTTGCTTGCATGAGAACAGCAATTCCATTCACCGCTTTAATGGAGAAAATTATGACACCACGTTGAAACATGAAAACATATAGAAAGGATTCATTCAATTTTTTCTGGGCATTATCCTGCATCAACTTAGGCTATGAATGGAAAAAAAAAAAAATCAACATTCTAGAAAGACGCTCTACAATTGATCATAAAACTATAGAGTGTTCAATTCAGTCATGGTCGGTAGTTCAATTGAATTAAACCGACCACTGATCGGTGTTCGACCAGTCCGTTTTGCAAACGGTCGATTTATGGACCGGAACCCGACACTTCGGGTTGGTCAGGTTCAGGCAACAAACCACTTGGACGTCGCGGGACGAGCAGCCAGCGACAGCGGGCCGTAAGCCCCGACAGCGGGGCGCGCAAGCGTCGAGTGCGGGCGCGCACGGGCAGCTGGTTGACGCGACAAAGGGCAGCGCACAGCGGTCGCTAGTGTTTTTGTTATTCTGGCGCAGGCAGCACCCCGGTTCTGTACTCGTATATTCCTTCTAAATCAAATTCCAAGTTCAAGCAAGTGGGTTCATCATTGCCAGTGTGATGAATGTTTGGAAAATATTGATTCCGAACCTCGGAGCCTTCAGCTTCCAATCATCCTCAGGCTTTGGGCTATTTATGAAGTTTTATACTCACTAATGTTTAAAAACCGTGTTTTTTCCAGTAACGACCATTATATTATATTATATATATATATATATATATATATATATATATAAATTATATATATATAAATTATATGTATATAATATATATATATTCAATAACATAGTATATGGACAAACCAATGCTCTACCGAAAAAAAAACACGATTTTCAAACTATTTGAGTAAATCTTCCATAAAGCAAGCCTTCAAAATGCCCAATGTCTAAAATGAAGATGAGACGAACGAATTTGTTACTGCAACTATTTATTCTATTTCCTACAAAAATTATATTTTAAAGAATTTAAATTATAAACAAAGCTATAAAATTCAAGCAACTTTAAATCCATACCTATGTATACGTAAGTTTTTTTTTTTTGGGGAGGATTGGCGATACTAAAGAAATTGATGCTAGAGGACTTTACTTCATCCATCATGATTTGGTGCGTTCCTTCTTCCTCTTCCTTTTAACTTGATGCGAAGCAATTGCTCTTTATTTGTTGTTTTATTTTATGTTCCGCACTGAACAAAGCAACATGTGCCTGAGAAAAGATCACGTTTCGTTAACTTTATTTTTCTTTCTTCTTCTTCTTGTCTCAATCCAAACCTCAATTTATTTATTTTTTCAAGACCTTCTTTGCCATCTTTGAGATGTTACGCATTACGCTGCTTTCATTTTTCTATTATTATTTTAGTTTTTTATTTATTCTAAAGTATCTTTTGTCTATAAATATTGTATAATTAAATTCTCTTATCTCATTCTTCAGTTCATTCAATTTGTAAATATTTTAAATAAGGTGATGATATCTGATTAATCTTTATTTGGAATAATATTTATACTATTTTTTTAAAAGTGGATTTTTAATAATTTTTTTTTAAAAGAAGCAAAAAAGCTGTCTAAAAGTTATCTCAAACAAAACCTAAAATTTAATGAAGATGGACTTTAAGGGGTTGTTTGATAGCCGAATTTCATTTAAGTATGATTTTTTAAATCCTCTAAATCTGGATTTATGAAAACTGTTTGGTAACATTTATAATAAATCTTGTTAAATTTCATGTGACTGTTTGACTACTCTAAAGAGGCGGGGTGAGGAGATCAGACGAACAATGCGGCTTTCGTTTAAATCCGCCAAATGAGAGGATTTCAAAAATTTGAGATTTATCATGAAAAGGCGGAATTTTCTGTCAACCAAGACTTTCATTTACTTTGAGATTTGGTTTTGCATTTTAGGCGGTTTGGTTGGATTTTGCTCAGATCCGCCTCAAATTCGGCTTAAATCCTGCCACTAAATAGCCCCTAAAACTCTCAAATATACTTTGAGATGAATACAATATAAGCGTAGATTGATCATTCATCTATTATATTATCATAAAATAAATTTAAGAAATTTAAAATTCTTCGTAACTAAATTTTATTGAAAATATCTTAACTAATTTTTTTCTACAAATATAAAATATATTTTAAAATTGATGATTTCACCTTCACTTACCATTTTTTATAAATAAAATAGTCTTTTTTAAAGAATCTTAACTGAATTTATGAAATTTAAAATCCACATTAATAAGAAATATATTATTATTTTAATGCTTTCAAGTTTAAACAGCAACATGAGCACTTGAAGATGCTTTCCTTATATTACGGTGGGGATAATTCGATTGCTTCTACTTCGGCAGCCCATTTTTGTTTTGTAGCGAAGAAGCCGTAAACAAGAAGAATCCAAAGAAGCAATTGCCTCCATTAAGTTTTAAGGGCATCTCCAACCCAAAAAGTCATTTTTCATTCCAAAATATAGTAAAACTTTAAAATGCAATAATTCTTTTCCAACAGAACATCATTTCTTCTTTTTTTCATGCTCTTCCTGCGATGGTAATCATCTTTGGCGCGCTTTTCTTTCTTTAGCGCGCTTATTTGACAAATCTCGCAGCGAATATTTTCGGCACAGGTGAACAGTCCGACGACAATTTGGAGTTCTAATGGAGTAAATGGCGGATGACATATAATGGTATGGAGTTCTGTTGGAGATGATCTAAAAGAAGGAAAAGGAAGAGAGGAAACGAATTTTCTACATTTTCTTGTACGCATTAATAAGAACTATCAAAATTATACTTCTTCTACTCATCACACCAAAGAAGTGGAAAAAATCTCGTTAAAGAAAAAGCTAGATATAATTGACCCCAATGTCGCTCTTTCTGTTTCATTTCGCATAGAAGAAACGATGCCACCACTTTAAATGTTAGTGTTTAAGGCATCTGCTTTAGTCCACATGTCTACCTCTGAACATCACATATATCGTTCAAATTTTTTTTAAAAAATAATAATTCTTTATGTATCTTTCTCCATAATGCAGGCCTTAAAAAATTATATTCTCGGATTCCATCTGTCTCTATCTAGCTTTGTATTCCTACATATCTCTTTCAACCTTTGGATTCCCACACAGATGAAAATGAGCTTCTCCAAAATGAACAATAGCAGCGTCTCTTCTCATACTGAAACCAATGGAATTGTCCTCGCTGATGACTTGCTGATGGAGATTCTCACCAAGCTACCAGTGAAGTGCATCTACCGCTGCAAATGTGTATCAAGGTCATGGCGGCGGCTTATTGCAGACCGTTACGTCACTGCAGGGCTCCCATTAATCTTCTCTGGCATGTTCTACCGCAGCGTTCTCGGAGCTCTCAAGTTTAAACCCAAATATGGATGCAACTGTAATGGTAGTTTCCAAGAAACAGACTTCAGTTACCTCCCATTTTACCATAACTCTAGCATCATATATTGCAGCAATGGTCTTCTCCTCTTTTATAGTAGAATTCTCTCTGTTTTTCATGTCTGCAATCCTACCACAAAAATATGGGCAGCTCTACCCAAGCCAAGGGGCAAGAGCCATCACTCAATACTAGCTTTTGATGCTTACAAATCACCATATTACAAGGTGGTTTGCTTTAGTGGGACGCAAGCACAAGGAGGCCAACTTGAAGTCTTCTCGTCAGAGACCGGCCAATGGGTCGAACACAACCTGAATTGGGGAGTTGATACCAACAACCTCTCAGATATTATGCATTACTTTCATGGTGTTCTTTATGTTCTTGCTTTTCCTGGACATGTTGCTTGCATTGATCTTGAAAAGATGTGTTGCAGCGTAATTGAGTTGCCTGAGGACATAAAAATTAATGTTTTCTTAGGGAATTCTGGTGGGTTTCTCCACTGTGCAATAAATGATGGAAATGAATTGAGGATTTGGGTTTTACAAGGAATGAAATGGGTGTTGAAGAACAGAGTAAGTATTTCAAGGATTTTAAAATGGAATGGTGACTGCAGAGATATGTCTTATATTGCTTTTTGGCGTCACGAGCGGTTTAATTTCTTAGCTTTTCATCCGAAGGAGGATGTGGTTTTCTTATGGGTTTTGGGCAAGTTGGTGTCTTATGATCTTTGTAAGAATAGATTTGGTTTGGTTTGTGAGTTGGGAACAGAGAAGGAGAGGGTTCAAGTGATTCAGATTTGTCCGTTTCTGTAAAACTTTATGGAGTTCTTAATGTCTTATTAGAACTTACTCGCACATACAATTCAAGTTCTGGAATTCATACAAAAAACTTTCTTTAAGAGTAAGTTATATAACTTTTATAAGAACTCCTAACATGTATTATAAGTTTTCTAACTCTTGTAAGAACTCACATCATAAATTCTGTAAAAGAAATCGAAACGAATAAAAAAAATATAATTTTACATAATTCTTAAATCCCAAAGATCTTAAACAAAATGATTTTCACGATCTTTTAATCAGAAGAAAAACATAACTTGATTTATTTTGAATTCGCCAAATTTCAAACTACGATATCTCTCCATTTTCCCTTTCACTTTCTTCTTTCATGATTTAATTCTCTATGGAGCAAAATAACTCCTCATAATGAGAAACTTTTATTCGGTCTGGTCACCTGACGTAGCTCTACGTTCGGACGCCAATAAAATAGAGCCACGTGTTCTCACTATTTACCGCGCGGCCCGACAACCGTGACCCGGAACGGATACGAGATTTCTATGTTCACGTGTTGCTAGGTATTGCTTGGTATTGGTCGATTTTGCTCGACAATAACGAGAAATTAAATACCCTTCTGTGAAGACCAATACCGAGCAATACTAAGAAATACCAAGCATTACTGAGTTTTTCTCGGTATTAGTCTTCACAGAGCGATATTTTTCATTATTGCCAAGTAATACCTAGAAATACCGAGTAATACCTAGCAATACCAAGCAATACCTAGAGCAATACCGAGCAATACGCGAACATATCAATCCTGGGTCAAGTCGTCGGGCCACGCAGTATTGAGTAAGACCACATGGCGATATGTTATTGGCGGCCGAACATAGAGCTACGTCAGGTCACCTGACCTAATAATTGTTTCATAATGAGAGAGAGAGAGAGAGAACCGGTAGTTATTTCCTATGGATTGGTTACAATAACCGCTCACAGGAGTTATTTGATCAAACGGTACATAAACGATTGATCAAATTATCTCTTTTTGACCAATAGGATTTAAACATAAATAATTAAATATCAATAATTCTAATATACGGGTCACCTAATGGTTTATATAATAAAATATATATTGATAAATAATTATTGCGATGTCTCGCATATTTTTTATATTTAATTATTCTAACAGATTCCATATTTAGATAACGTTTCAAATTGCTTGGCTTGATGGGAATTTAGTTTTTGTAATAGTTCTTTATATTCTGTGATTTTGTATGTGGCAAGTAAATGAGAAATTATTCTGTGCGGATGTCAGACACAGCTCTACATCCGGATGCCACGGTACAGTAAAAGATGACATGGAACATTCTGATTGGTCTCCGGACGGCTTTCGGCATCCGCACAGAATAATTTTTCCAAGAAGGATGTATAGATTCTATAGAAATTTGAATAGGGACACAAGTGATTTGAATTTTTGCACAGTCGAAAGAATTTTGTAGCTCCTTAGCTTAGTATAAAAAATGTTGGCTTTCGTTTGTCATTTGAAGACTTCTTCCTTGAAGAAGTGGCTGATGGGAGGAAAAGGTTGAGGTACTAAGTCGGCACTAGAGGTGTCAATATCGGGTCACTAGTCGAGTTCAGGTCAAACCCGAAATTGACCCGGCACTATTCGGGTCAACCCGAACCCGACCTGTTTTTGAAAAACGGGTCAGTTTTGCCGACCCGAACCTGACTCGCTTCAAGTTCGGGTCAACTCGACACGACACGAATGACCCGTTTCTAACAAAAAAATTGCTAGTTTTCGGGTAAAAAACGGGTCTATCTCATCTTTTTCGGGTCAAACTCGGGTTGCCGGGTCAAAATAGGGTTTTCGGGTCAATTTCGGGTCAAAGGGTTAACCAGAACCTGACTCGATTTTTGAAACGGGTTGAAATGTAGAACCCGAAGCCGACTCGTTTCAGGTTCGGGTTGACCCTAACCCGAAATTTTTGGGTCGGGTTCGAGTCAAGTTTTCGAGTCATGTCAAATATTGACACCCCTAATCGACACACAATTTGCAAGCAAGTCGATTGAAACCGCAATTCAATCCATTCATTGCTTCACTATGTAGGCATGTAGCCATTTATTATACTAGTAAAAATACCCGTGCATTAAATGCACGTGACTAAAAGTTTAAAACAAAAATTCGTATTATAAATATTTTAATTATATTAATGAGTATTAAGATTAAAAATTTATTATTTTAAAATAATTATAATCATAATGAAAGAGTTTTATATAATTAGATAAATAATTTAATATGACATGAATTTTTATTATTCAAGAAATAATCTTGGTATTAAATTATTTTATTAGTTAATAAACAGATTAATTATTTTTTAAGTTAAAATTTCTTGAAAGTATATAAGTTCTTTTTTTATTTTCACATTAATAATTTTTAAGTATTAATAATAAATAAAAATGCAACATAATAAAGTTAAGAGAAATTCTTTTTTTTTTTCATTATATTTTCATTTAAAATAATTTCAAATTTAATTGCTACAAATAATTTTAAAATCAAATTACTAAAAAAAAGTTGGTAATATAATATATTGTGTTTAGAGTAAACTAAATTTTTTTTTTATCATGATTGTAATCAATAATGATACATTATTCTCTTTATGAGATAAATTTTTGAAATTTTTATCTTTTATCCCACCGGATTTATAATTAAATTTTAAAAAAAAAAAAAGTTTAAATTTTTAGTTTTCTTTTAAATAGAGAAGCAACTATAACTATACCCAATAAATATTCCCAATAATAATTATAATCAATAAATTTTTATAATTTATAGCCTTCAAGAAAATTTTGTATAAGTATTTAATTTTTTTGCGTTTTAAACTTTTAGAAAGAAAAATAAGTGGTGTCTATATATTTGCAGAAAAAATAAGTTTTTTAATAAAAATTTAATTGATTGTTAGGTAGTAGAATTTAAGCAACATTTAATTTTAATTTACTAAACAATCAAAATTATAACTTTAAATCCTACAAAATCTTAAGTCATTTCCTATGTTTTTGAAATAAATTAATATAAAATTTTGTAAATACTATCAGTTGTCAAATTAAACTTAAAAACATATTCTTTTTCACATGTTATTGCTCATATTGATGGCTTCTCAAGCGAGTTCTCATTCATTGTAAAGCATTTATCAATTTAAATGAGCATTTCAGAGCATTTCAATTACTGTATAATCATTTTGTTTTCATGACATGTTCATTTTAACTTCAATTACCATATAAAAAAAGCTACGTTAAATTCTAAAAAAATAAATAATATGACATGTAATTATGCTACAGTGCGCTGTGGTAAATTTATATAAATAATTGGTTTAATTTTGTGAAATAGAAGATTTTTTCTATTAATAAATATGAGGCGACAAATTTCATGTAAATTTTCATGAAAATTGTAAAAAAAAAATCTGCTTAAAAATGCACATCATTAGAAATGAATGGATTGGGATAGTATACAATCGTGCCAAAGAAGGAAACATAAGGTACTCTTAATCTAATCAAAGTTTTCAATGTAAGAAATAAAGATATATCTAAAGAATAGAAATAATTTTGTTGCATAATATTTTAATATCATTGTGATAGCTGACAAAAAAAAATGCAACTGAAGTTAGAGAATGTGTGCTCATGTAACAGAAACTCATTGAACGAAAAAATCACAGCATCTTTCACAATTATCAGTCTAATGGACATCTCCTAACACAATCAAATCATAATGTTCCAAAAGTTGTGACACAAAATGAAACATGCAAGTAATAAGCAATTATGTTATGTACAATATATATTTATCAAAGATCAACCGTTTTGAGTGAAGAAGATAGAGTGAAATGCTCGATCATCTCACATATCTATAATAAATAATTTGAATGAAAAAATTTGATATGAATTGATGATCTTCAATTTAACAAAACAATCAACGTTTGTTCAAAATTTATCTTTAAAAAATGAAAAAAAGAGACATAATCTATAAGAATAAATTGCAATTATAACAAAAAAACATTTCACATATTATGATAAAATGGAAAAAATATATAATCTATAAGAATATATATAATAATAATAATAATATAATAATAATAGTTTACAATTAATGATCTTGAAATGAAAAAATTATATGATATAAAGATTTATTAAAGATCATATCGACAGTGAAAAAATAAAATATAAATGCTTTTCTCAGAAATCATATAAAATAATTTGGGGAACCAAATGATATGAATAGATGATCCTGAATTAACGAAAACAATCAATACTTATTGGTGGGAAAAATTGTGTCACCACACAGATTTTGATTTCCCCTATTTTGTAATCGAATACTGCATTAAGAATAACGAAGTCTCTTGTACAACGTAATGCAGAAATTAAAGAACCTAATACATGTCTCTTATCTTGAATACAAGAACTTCCACAAATTATTTATTGCTAACATCTCCTTGCAAGCTAATGGTTTAAGTCGAATATTAACTTGTTGGTTAGATCTTTGAACCGGAGTTGGATAAGATTTTGTAAACAAATCTGCTAGCTGATCTTTAGTAAAGATATGTGATGAACATTTATGCTATGATTTGAATACATTTTGGATGAATATGGCAGTTAGTTTCAATGTCTTGTCCGGGCGTGATAAATCGGATTATGGCTAATCAATAGCGAAGGTTATTGTCACAAATAATGAGTGCTCGGTCCAATCCTTGCGGAAATCAAGTTCTTGAAGAAAGGCGACGAAGCAGAATAATTTCTATTCCGTATTGGCAGCAATGGCTGATATTCAAGCTTACGGTGGTTGAATGGGCAATACAGATTGCTTCTTGACACTTCTCCAAGAGATTAGAGAGTTTCTAGAAGGTTACAGTAGCCCTTCGTAGACTTGCAATCCTGTTGATCTCTTTTTGCCATTTAAAGTCGTATTGATGTACTGTTAATGAGTATACTTGTTAACGAAGACCATATGATCGTTCCCAAAATGTATCTGAGAATACGTTTAGCAGCAAAACTGTGAATGTTGGTTGGTTTGGCATTGCCTGCTTGCTCGGTTTACCGCATACGCAATACCGGACCCGATGATGTCAGGTAATTGCATGA